CTTGTGTTCTCTTAAAAGAGACAGGGTTAGGGCTGGCCCCATGGCTCACTCCAGGAAGTGTGGCGCTGGTAGCACCAAGGCCATGGGTTTGGATCCTATATAGGGAAGGCCGGTGCGCTCACTGGCTGAGAGCGTGGTGCAGACAACACCAAGCCAAGGGTTGCGATCCCCTTACCGGTCAAAAAAAAAAAAGAGAGAGAGACAGGGTTTAGCAGAGAGTAACCTTAACAGATGATAGGTGTTAGAATTACTATTGGTATTAGTATGAATATCAGTATTGGTATAGGTATTAGTATTAATTAGGGCATATGGTCATTAAGAGGCTGCTCTGTCACCCCAGCTGCAAACACTCACATTTAGGTGTTGACTGTCTAGTCTCTTCTGGTGAAAGCAGTCTCGAACTGAACAAGGCCATCCACAATACTGTACATCACACACACATCCCTTTCCCCATCCCCCTTCTCCAGAACACAGTAATGTCACATGGAGGACTTAGAACTGCTCCTTCCATGTTTGCAAAAGAAAACCTCCTTTAAATACCAACCTAGAAAGTGGTAAAAATATTTGACTCGGCATCCAATACACAGCTGTGTGCAAGCAATTATTTGGGCGATTTAAATGCCCTTTCACAGACTTTCATGGATCAAGCCCAGTAGGAATGATGTACTTGAATACATTGCAACTTGGCAATTTCATACAGGTCTATAAATCCCAGAAACCCAGAGGGAAGGGGCCAAAATAACTTCCAAACCCAATAGATTTTGAGTAAAGACATTATTCACATCTTACCTGTTCAACTGCCTCAGCTTCCTGTAGGCAGTAAGGAAAATCAATCATTAGCAGACTAATGAATCATTTTCAGCAGGGAAATCAATCATTAGCAGACTAAAACCAAAATGCATTAAAAATAACAATGATAATATGTTGTCTATGATTTATTGAGTACCTACTATGTGGCAGACAATATGCTAAGCATTTTTATTACAATTAACTCATTTAATTCTCACTATCCTATGCAGTAGATGCTGTTACTCTCTTGATTTTATAAAAAAGGAAACTGAGGCTCAAAGAGATGAAGCAACTAACCTAAGGTCACAGAGCTAGCAAGCAACACAGGCTAGATCCAAACTCAGGTCTGACTCTAAAACTCGACTTCCTTCATTTAGTTTCTCTGTCACACAAGGTTTACTGCCCGGTTCCTCCGGGAATTTCTGAGTAAGACTGCCCCCCAATGGTCAAAGAAGACCTGGAACTCAGAAAGCTCACATTCTGTTATAACAAGCATGTTTTCAACCCATCTTAGAAACTGTAGTGTACTGAAACCACACTGGTTTAGAATATTGCTAACTATTCTATTGACAGAGCCCTGAATTCTATCTTTCTCAAATTCTCAGATACTTCATTTTACAAACTCCAGAAAAGGTTTGCAGTAACTGCATCACCTAGACCCTACCCCAGGAACTGGTAGCCAAAGCCCCCATGAACAAGGCACCTTGATGCAGTGGGTTAGGATGGACTCCGATCTGGTGAGATTTACAGCTTGGACCACAGCAAGCATCCCTCTAACCCAGCAGGCTGTCCTCATGGGAAATGCCTGGTCTGTGTCCTGTCATTTCTAAACCCGTTGTCCTTTTCCCAGCCATACAGATCTCACTGTTGCATCAAGACGATAATGCTTGCTAGGGAGGAGAACCTAAGGGCTGGGAACAAGGATGGCAGCAAACTGAAGACCTATGTGATTCCTTTGCAGAGCTTTCCATCTCGGTGCCATGCAGATTTATGGGGGTCACCTTTGTAAACAAAAAGGTTGACCAGCAGCTGAATTTCACAGAAGCCAAGGAGGCCTGTAGGCTGCTGGGGCTAACTTTGGCCAGCAAAGACCAGGTTGAAGCAGCAAGAATATCTGGCTTTGAGACTTGCAGGTGAGAAACAGCTGGATTCACTGACACTGCTGGAGCTCTTCCGGCTCCACTTTCTTGTTCAGCAGTAGAGACGCTGCTTTCTAATCATTTGTCCGTTCAACTAGTATGTATTCTTTTACAGATATGGGTGGGTTGAAGAAGGATTCTCAGTCATCCCTCGGATCTCCTCGAACCCCAACTGTGGGAAGAGTGGGGTGGGTGTCGTGATTTGGAGAGCTCGACTTAGCCAAAGATTCGGGGTCTATTGTCACAACTCATCTGGTGAGTCAGATTCCAAGCTTCTCCATGTGGCATGTTTTCTCTGGGCATCTCTAGCTCTGTGATCTGTCTGGAAAGAGTAACCCTAAGCAGCAGCAGAAGCAATCATGGTGACGATTGTCTCTCTGACCAGGTTAGAGGTGACAATGTGCCCCTCAGAGGAAAAAGTTAGGAAAAATACAATTGAATGGCAACATAAGGAGAGAGCATCCCAAGGAGGCTCAATTACCACCATGCCCCACCCCCCATCCTATTAGATAAACAGGAGGAAGGGAAGGAAACAAATGTACAAATGTGTGTAATGCATCCAGTATGGACAAAGAGATATACTAGGTTATCTCTCTGAACTGTGACAACTTCCTTAGGAGGTATGCTTTATCATCCCCCTTTTGCAGGTAAAGAAACTTAGCTCAGAAGACATAAATACATTTGTCTAAGTTCTCATTATTATTAAGGTTCAAACTGAGGTCTAACTCTGAAACCATGCTCTTTCTACTGTCCCACATTTCTTTATAGTAGAGGAAATTCAGATGCTACATTCTGCATTTTTAAGAACAAGACCTAATCTTATGAAGGAAGAAATTAAAGCCTAGAGAGGAGAACTGATTTGCTCACGGTCATGCAGTAGTCCCATTAACCTTGCTTGGAGACCTTGGCTGCTTTAGCCCAAGTGTTTTACTATGTAATTTCTCAGAAAGTTTTTCTTTTGCTAAATACTCACTTGTTCTCAGTTTGTCATATGAGACCCTGTGATTTATAACTCTTCACACTTATTCATATATATGATCTTCTAAAGGTTATATGGCTGAGTGGTCATACACAGGACAGATTTCAAAATCATTCTCTGAGATTCAAGAGATAAATGTTCACCAGCCGACATTAGCCAAAACTATCCCAGAAAGGCAATATAGGATCCCAGCG